ATTGTGATAGGGTGGCAGCTTTCTTCTGTCTACATGTGCTGAGCTGAGGTTTATTTGGGACATTTGGTAGTGGAACATCTTGTGTTGAATTTCATGGAAAGTTAGTGAACACTACCATGTTAGAATATCCATGGAAAGTTAAAATCGAGACTAGGGACAATCTCCCCATCATGCTCTCAAATAAGGTCATCATCAGCAACACCCGACGAATGCCACAGGGGCTGCTTGGTACCCTGCTTTGGCTCAGATAGACTAAGGAGTATGTGAAAGTCAGTTTCTGGTCTGTAGCATCTTCTCCTCCTGAAGGACCCAGGAACTCTCTCTGCTAGGCAAGTCCTAAGTAATCTTTTTCAAATGATAAAAACCATGATAAGTCTTACCCTGGGATGGCATATGAACCTACATTTGATAGGGGTTCTAATCTTTCACCTACAAAGCTATGGACAGCTCCAAAATGAGTAGGTTCCTTTAGATTGTAAGGATAGATTTCTACTCCCTGGAACTGAGTTCTTGAATTCACCATGACTCCACCTACATTCTAGCACTTTTTCTTCATTCTTGGTACATTTCATACCTTATCCTGTAGTAGGAGCCAACTACCCAACTACCCTCCCACACCCCACCAACTAATTTATCTCTATTCCCTGAAGACTCCTCTGAATAGAAGTCAATAGACCCTCCCCTCCCCTTCCCTTCCCTTCCCTTCCCTTCCCTTTCTATTTGAGACCAGGTCTGCTTGGTCACCCAGGCTGGAGTTTGGTGGTGTCATTAGAATTCACTGCAGTCTCAAACTCCTGGGCTCAAGTCATCCGCCCACCTCAGCCTCCCAAGTGGCTGGGACTACAGTTGCTCACCACCATACCCGGCTACTTTTTTTTTCTCTGAAATGGGGTTCTAAGCGTGTTGCCCAGGCTGGCCTCAGACTCAGATTCCTATTCTCAATGGTTTTAGGCACTGCATAATTGTCTGGCAGTGATATCACTGGGCTCTGGGGTTTCCAGCAGTGCTGAGGGAATATTCACACAACTTAACCCACTCCCTAATCCATATCACTGTCCCATAGTAGGCTAGCAATTCATTGTTATCACAGATCTTCTGCCTAAAGATCCTAGCTCTTCCATATCTAGACCTATTACAGGTAAGATTGATGAATAAATTCTTCATTAATCTCTTACCTGTCATACTAACCTGTGATCTTGTAGAAATTACTTCCACTCTAGATGCTTCAGTCTCCTTATCTGTAAAATAGGGATAATATTAGCATCTACCCCTCAGGATTAATTACTAAATGAGCTATTATATAGAAAGCATATAGATGTGTTTAATAATAATTAGTCCTCAATAAATGTTAGCTGATTACAACTAGTAGTATTGTATCATTTTTTCACAGTGAGCTCCTAGAAGGGAAAGAATTGAACTCATCCATTCCTATGTCTTAGGGGCCTGATTCACACTGGACATACTGAAGGGCTCAACATATATATGTTGAATTGGATTAAACTCCCTTGACATTTATTGTCTGCTCCATTCATATGCTGCTTTTCGCCTAGTTGCTTTCTCTAACTTTTAAATGATTTTAGCAAATCATTTAACTCCAATTGAGCTGTTTTTTCCTAGAAGTACAGGATAGCTCATTCACCTTTGTATGCCCTATACCATCTGGCTCATAGTAGGTGCTTAGTAACTCTTCACAGCCTTAAACTGACTACATTCCTGAATCTTGATAACAAGGATTCTATCATACAGAAAATGTATAAGAGCAGCTGGCATACCTGCATTTTTTTCTCCATTAATACTACAACTTAGCAGTGGGAGGAGATGTCTAAAGCATCAAGGCACCAAATTGGGATTGACATACAGTGGTGGGGTTGGGGAGGGATTGCCTAAAAGCTGGACTGTACAGTAGACTATATGTTCCTTGTGGGCAAAGACCATGTTTCCTTCTTTCTCAAGCACCTTGCCTGACATACTGTATGCACTCAATGACTGTCAGTCCCATTAATGAATTTATTCATGTTTGAAATCCCAACACAGGCAGCTCTCATTGCTCCCTAGTGTCAGATATGTGCTTGCCAGCATGCCCCTACACCTGAACAGTGTTCATTTCCCACCCTACTCTCAGTATTACACACTCTCCATCCCTGGCTAGTGTCACATGCATCCGTGTGAAGAGACCACCAAACAGGTTTTGTGTGAGCAACAAGGCTGTTTATTTCACCTGGGTGCAGGCGGGCTGAGTCCGAAAAGAGAGTCAGCAAAGGGTGGTGGGATTATCCTTAGTTCTTACAGGTTTTGGGATAGGCGGTGGAGTTAGGAGCAATGTTTTGCTGGAGTGGGGTGGATCTCACAAAGTACATTCTCAAGAGTGGGGAGAATTAGAAAGAACCTTCTTAAGGGTGGGGGATATTATAAAGTACATTGATCAGTTAGGGTTGGCAGAAACAAATTACAATGGTGGAATGTCATCAGTTAAGGTTACTTCCACTTCTTTTGTGGATCTTCAGTTGCTTCAGGCCATCTGGATGTATATATGCAGGTCACAGGAGATATGATGCCTTAACTTGGGCTCAGAGACCTGACAGCTTGATCCTTACCTCAATCTCAAGTTGGCAAGATGAGTGTCACACTTTGAAATCATGTTTGTGCAAAAATTGCTGCAAACAACTAATGCCTATCTGACTTGAATCTCTTCTTGGTATACAGAAAATCATCAACAATGAATCCTGTCCCCTGGATTCATTGGAAGACATCTTTCTTTGTTACCTATTGAATATATTCTCTTTTTGAAACAGCTCAATCTTAGGAAATAGTTTTCCCATCAGTAGCAGGTCTTTGAAGAACATTAGCAGAGAAGACTCTTCAGGAGACAGACCAGCCAGAAGTGCTTGTCAAACATGGCTGCCTTCTTTCTCTTTTCATATGTGAGAAAGGAAGTTTTTAAACTTGGTGCTATGGTTTGGATGTTTGTTGCTTCCAAACGTCATACTAAAATTTGAACATCGATATTAAAAGTGGAACCTAATGGAAGGTGTTTTGGACATGGGGATGGATCCCTCATGTATAGAGCAATGCCCTCCCTAGGAGGTGAGTGAGTTCTCACTCTATTAGTTCCCATGAGAGCTGGTTGTTAAAAAGAGCCTGGCAGCATCAACCTTTCTTTTGCTTCCTCTCTCACCATGTGATTTCTGCATATGCTGGTACCCTTTCACTTTCCACCATGAGTGGAAGCCCCCTGGGGCCCTCACTAGATGCAAATGCCCAATCTTGAGCTCTATAGCCATCAGAATTGTGATCCAAATAAACCTTTTTTAATTATAAACTACCTAGTTTCTGATATTCCTTTACAGCAACACAAAATGGACCAAGACACTCAGCTTCCCGGGCAACATCAACTTTCCAAAGTCTGTGTGAGATAATTTGGGTAGCAAATGATAGAAGATCTGACCAAGAGTAGCTTAAACAATAAGGACATTTATTACTGTGCATAACATGAAGTGTGGAGATACAGCAATTTCAAGGTGGATTAATTCACTGACATGATACAGTATAGATCTAGCTCAGTTATTCTGCAGTTTTCCTCCACAATCTCAAGATCTGCTGTGGGTCAGGTTTCATATGCTATCAACAATTTTCAGAGGCAGAAAAAGAGAATGTCCCAATCTTGTGTCCCTCCACCAGATGTCCCCTTATCTTTCCTTGTCAAGAATCAGCATAATCTATCCCTGATTAAACAATCACCAGACAAAGAAAGGCCACCATAAATTTGCCTAAACCAATGAAGATTCACCTTACCATCTATGATTGGGTAGAGACTAAATTCTTAGAAAGAACATGACCCCTCAGAGGAGGGTTACTAAAATCAGGGTTTTGATAGCAAGGTAGAAAGGGGGAAATAACTCCCTGGTGGGCAACCAACAGTGTCTGCAACAGAGAAGGTTGGACACGTTGACCTCTAAGTAGTAGGTAATGAGTAAAATTACTCAATTTTATGCTTAGGAGAATCAAGCCAATGTAAGACAAGGACCCTTCTTACTCAGAGCTACAATCTGGTTTCAGAGATAAAGCCTTTTCAAAAGCATTAGCTCAAGATGATTTTACAATCATTACCCATATAGGCTGCAATAGAAGCAAAGCACTACTAAAATCTTCTAGTATAGAAAATGTTCAAGTAGGCTCACTAATGCAAAGCAAACAAAATCTTCTTGTAATGCTAGGTCACAAGGTTTGTACACATCCTAACCCAGATAAATATCAAGAGTGAAATCGTAATATTTGGCCTCAATTTCAGTCTCTGTTACAAAATTGACCAATGCCTTCCTCTGGAGAATACAATACCTTTTTTTTTTTTTTTTTTTTTAATGGACCAAAACACACAATTCACAACTTCCCTGGAGACTCTGCTAAGGTTTTATAAAGATTTAGTTTTTTCCTTTCTTTTCTTTTCTTTCTTTTTTTTTTTTTTTTTAACATGAAAACATCTAAGTCTTCGTGAAAGAAATAGAAAAACAGGTAGGAGAACTGTTTGACCCTGAAGACATGCCAATAAGTTTCCCTTGCCAAGATTTATATTAAACACAAAATTTGATGATCAAATTGTTGCTACATTTGTGACTCATTATTCATTTACTTAACCTTAGTTTGGCCATTCTCTCTCCCATTCATGTTCTCTGAGATCTGGCAGGACCAGAGGGGCTAAAACCTCAGGTCTCCACTGCTTAGTATTCTCAGAATGGCCAAAAGGGAGTCATTTGGGCTGAATTATGTTCCCCCTAAGAGTCACATGTTGATGATCTAACTACTGGGACCTCAGAATGTGGCTGTATTTGGAGCTAGGGTCCTTTAAAAGGTGATCGAGTTAAAATGAGGTCATTAGGGTGGGCCCTAATCCATTTTGACTATTGTACTTATAAGAAGAAGAAATTTGGACACAAAAAGAGATACCAGGGGCACACAAAGGAGAGACCATCTGAGGACATAGCGAGAAGGCAATGATCTGCAAGTCAAGAAGAGATGCCTCAGGAGAAATCAAACCTGACGACACCTTGATTTTGGACTTCCAGCCTGCAGTACTGTAAGATAATTCCTGTTGTTTAAGCCAACCGGGCTGTGTATTTTGTTATGGCAGCTCCAGAAAATGAACACAGGGAGCAAAGGGGCATAACCTCAGGGAGCGTCCTTTGATTTCTCTACTTCCTCCACCCCAGGAAGTCTTCGCTATTGAGTCCTACCTTTAAACTGCAGCTGGCCTTCCGCCAGCTGCGGAGCCCTCCACCCATGATGAATGCAAACTGACATTCAGATTCCTCAGCGATGAGCAGTGAACACTGTCCACATTACACAATCTCTTCCTTCCCTGACTCTGCTTCTCTCCAGAGAAGACTAGGGTGTGTTCTGGACTCAGGCCACAGGCGCAAATTTTCCCTAGAAGAGCCTGCAAAAGAAGCAGTAAGTCACGGAGCTGCAGTTAAGTTACAAGAAAACTCACCTGAAAAAACAGCCAGGAGTTTTCACAGGGCAGGCCAATTACCAAAAGCACATCTCCACTGTGTGTTGTCTTAAGAGAATAAGGCTCCTGTCCATCAACAAGAGCTGGCTGGAAGCAGAGGGATCAGGTAAGTAAACCTTCAGGAGGACTGAGTTTCAAATGTGGGTCCCTGCCAGACAGGGATTGTATGTCCTCAAGTAGATGTCCCTCCCCGTGACCCACAATATCAGCAGTGTGTAGCCCTTTTCCAGGCAGGAGAAGTGGAAATACCCACCTATAGTTAGGAACTGGGGATTACTATGAGAGAAGGGAGGAAGAAACACAGTGTCTAAAAATTAGCAGACTACCAAACTTAAAAGTCCTACTTCATCATTTATTTACTAACTACACAGCTTGAACACATTTTTCAACATCTCTAAACCACCATCCACTCATTTTAAAAAATGGGAATACTAGTAGCTATCTCAACAAACTGTTGGGTGGAGTTAAATAAGATATTATAGTAAAGTTAGCAGATTATAGGGTATATAGGCAAGTGAATAGCAGCAGCAACAACAGCAATAGGGATGGTAGTTATTAATAAAACGAACGACCAAGCAGGATTTCACATTTCAAGAGCTCTGACACAGGGCTGAGCTCTGCACTTCTTGGTGATAATAGAAGTAGAAAGGAGGAAGTCGAGATGTGGGTGAGGAAGCTGGGCCAGGTCAGAAGGTCCTTCTGGAGTGGAGGAATGTTGAGTGGAGCCAGGGT